ATATCTAGTCATTGATGTGCAACTCAAGAGCCATGTGGTATTATAAATTGAAGCTACATAAATGAGGCAGTTTTGAGGATCAATAATTATACATACGGAATGCTGTGATGGAATTTGGGGATGGGGGCCTCCTTGCAATTTGTGAAATTGGAGGCCCGTGTCTGCAATTAGAAATTCGGGTCATATTGCAATTTTTAGAATAGGGACCTGTCATGCAATATTAAAGGACCTAATTTTAATTTTAAATGGGTTAAGATGTAATTTTCAATAAGGGGCTCTTAAATTTGAACTTCTAAACTTTTGACCCTAAAATTCTTTTTGACCAAATTAAAACTTTAATTGATAATTGACTCGATTAAAATATATTAACATAATTTAATTGACGACTTTTGTATTATTTCATTCAAATGATTATGTATTTAAATATTGTCATTATTTGTGCGTTTAAATTTTAATTTTTATATATATTGAAATATTGAATTTTGTTGCCCTTTTTGTCTCCAAATCACATATAAATTTTACCGTTTATCAATTAATGATTATGATTTGTTACATGATTATTATTTTGTGATTGAATTTTTCTATGGGCCTTGCGACGATTCTTGTTTTCCCACCAAGAGAAATGTTTTGAAATAAAAATGGGTGGTAGCTGCCAAAGTGGCACACTCATTATTATTTATTCGATTTTCTCAACAATAAAAAAATACATATATTTTTGCCCAACAACATTTGATTTATTGCATATAATATCTTGCCCAAAGGTGGTATTATATGTAATATTTTTGAAAAATGGCATGAGAAAGTTAACGAGCTTATTTTAGTTTAGAAATTTCCTTCTGCCCAAAGGTGTTGTTGTTTCGAAAATCAGTGTAATTTTATTAACTGGCTGCATGATGTGTTTTAAGAATACCTTATAGCATGTTGTATTGTCGACCCAAATGTGACTTTATGATGATGCACCTAGGCTCTTACCGTAATAAAATTCATATGTTTCGATTTAAATTACGGATTATCTAATTAATAACCCATATTAATTAGTTAGATATTTCATCATCCATTTGATTGCATGCATTAAGTTTGGATGATATTAAGAGTGTAATATTTTATGTGTCCACAGTTTATAATGCCTCGTCTCTTTCGAATCAATTGGCTGCTATTGAAACATTGACTGGGAATAACTATGTAAGATGGAAACGAGACGTAGAAATATCACTTGGTCTTTTGGGTTTGAATTTTGCAATGGAGAATAAGCTTGAAAAACCCACAAATAAGAGTACCGTTGAATATGTAGCCGAGCATGAAAAGTGGGAAAGGGCTAACAAACTCTGTTTGAAAATCATTAAGCGATCGATATCTGATTCCATTCTAGGTGCCATCCCTAATAATGAAAATGCCAAAAGTTTTATGGATGCCATAGGAGAAAATTTGTTGAGTCTGATAAAGCCGAAACTGAGGATCTGATGGATAAATTTATGAGCATGAAATATGATGGTACAAGTGGTGTTAGGAAATATGTCATGAAAATGATAAATATATCATCTAAGCTAAAGGCTCTTGACATTCCCATTGCGGAGCCTTTCCTAGTCTATCATGTATTGAATAACCTTCCTAGCAAGTTTAATCAGCTTAAGGTTGCTTACAATGCTCAGTGGGATAAGTGGAAATTGAATGACCTCATAGCAGTGTGTGCCCAAGAAGAGTATAGGATGCGCCGTGGAACTGTTGAAACTGTGCAATTAGCTTTTCAGCCATCACAGAATAAGGGGCCTTCTCATAATCATAAACCTAAGTTTCGTAAGGGTAATAAGTCTCACCGAAGTCAACAGAATAAAAATTTTAGTGGTCCCAAAGGAGTTATAAAGAAAAATGATCAATGCAAGTTCTGTAAAAAAATGGGTCAGTGGCAGAAAGAATGTTTTAAATTCAAGACTTGGTTGGAAAAGAAGAAGAGTTCTCCAGGTATTCCCTTGGCCTTAGTTTGTTTTGAGTCTTCTTTAGTAGATGTACCTTTGAATTCTTGGTGGTTAGACTCGGGAGCTAGTATTCATATTGCAAATTCCTTGCAGGGGTTTTTAAGCAAACGGAGGCCAAGTGAGAATGAAGTAAGCTTGAGCGTTGCAAATAGATTTCAAGTGAAGGTTGAATTCATAGGAGTAGTGAAGTTAACTTTAGAGTCTAGTTTTTATCTTGTTTTGGAAAATACAGTTTATGTACCGCAGATGAGACGGAATTTAATTTCTATACCAAAACTTGATGCTTGTGGTTTTACATTTAATTTTGGTAATGGAATGGTTAAGTTATTTAATGATTCTCATTTGATTGGAAATGGCATTTTATGTGATGGTTTATATAAATTATTTTTGGCTTCTTTTGGTGATGTCTCGTGTGTTACAAATGTATCAAAGAAAAGGGCTTTAATTCGTGAATCATCCTCTATGTTGTGGTATAAGCGATTGGGTCATATTTCTAAGGACAGAATGGAAAGATTAGTAAAAGATGAGATACTTCCTTCCTTAAACTTCTCCGATTTTGACACTTGTATAGATTGTATAAGAGGAAAGTTAACTAAGTCTACGAGGAAGGGTTCGACTAGGAGTAATGGAATTTTGGACTTAATTCACACTGATATCAGTGGACCTTTGCTTTCCACTATATGTGGGAATAAATATTTTATAACTTTCATTGATGATTTCTCACGATATGGATATGTTTATTTGATTAACGACAAATCACATGCACTTGAGAAATTCAAAGTTTTCAAACTGGAAGTAGAGAAATAATGTGGGAAAAATATTAAAGTTGTAAGATCTGACCGAGGTGGTGAGTACTATGGGAAATATGACGAGTCTGGTCAAAATATGGGTGATTTTGCAAA